ATACATAATGAAGGTTTTCATTGGAGTGAAATGGGCGATAAATAGGATTTACATTTAATATTATCCCCTCAGCTTTACTAATCGCTGGTTTTAGTTCTCCCTGTGAGTATTGAAATACAACAGCTGTATATCTGGCTGGCACCACACACCTATGTCCAATCCCAGGCACCTGAAGCTTGGAGAAAAAGGGATGTCTCTGGAGGCTTCAGGCAGAAATAAAGATGTTCCCAAAAAGTTACCCAGTATTTAGAAATAAGAGAGGTGACCAGCAAACATCTTCTCAGTGGAGTGCTAGGAACTCCACTGGACACTTGATGGACTAATTGAGTCTGCCAGCCGTGCACCTGTGATCAGCTTTCTGTTTAGCAGATGTTCACTTGTAAAGAGCCAATGGCAATGCGAACAGTTCTTGCCCCTGGAAGTGCAGATGAAATTAATCTGTAGAAAAATAGTTGATTTTCCTTCACTAGAAAAATAACTCTAAACTGTGCATCACCGTGCAGGATGTCGACCAGCTCTGACTTGTCAGCAGGCTGACTGTGGGTTTTTTTGTTTTGTTTTGTTTTTAGCTACTTTCACTATACAAAGTCTTCATACTTCCTTTCAAACTAGTTTTCACACCTTATTCTTTATTCATTAATTAATGGTTTGAATAAAATCTTTGGCATGTTCATTTTATATTTTGATGAGGGTCATGCTTTTTAACTTTTTGAGAATTAAAACCAGAAGCATCTCACTTGGTCAGGCATTACTTGGATTGAGTGGAGTGATTCCAGTGGGTTTTTGTTCACTATGATAAACTTCCTGAGGGCTGGTGTGGAATGTCTCCCAGCTGACCCTCAGATCTGCTCGTCACCCTGTTTACATGGATTACGTCAATGGCTCTCTGCTAACCCAGGGTCAGCAGGCACAGATTTAAGGAGCGCTCGCTCCCGGGTCACCCTGCAGTCGCTCAGTACTCACAGTAAGTGCCTCCTTCAGTCTTGTGCCCCTGGTGCCTCTTGCCTCCCTAGCCTCAGGGCAGTCCCAGCTCTGTCCTAATCCCTCAGTTTCAGCTGATTTTGACAGGTTGACTTTAGCAGTGGGAGGCACTGTGGGCTCAAGAGGCTGAGAGGAGAGTGAGAGATGCTGCTGTGGGCTGGCACTGCCCACCGCCCCTGCCCCTGCATCCCTCTAGCACCTCCTGTCCTGCAGCCCCACAAGCCTGGGGTGGTTTCTAGCTCTGGGCACTGCACCATCCCTTGGGGGTTTCCCTGTGTAAAGGTCCCTCTGGTTATCCACTTTGATCGTGCCCCCAGAATCCTGTGGTCCCTGGCTGACACACAATTAGTAAGGCCTAAAAGTTGGATGGGTGGCTTTGAGAAGGGCAGTCCACCGCACTCCAGAGATCTTCAAGCTGAGGCTGGATGGTCAGCAGACACTAATGCTGGGAAGAAGTTCTCTGCTGTGGGAAAAGGCAAAATTGTGCAACTATGATTTCTAAATACAGAGGCGACATAATTCCACAAAAGCTATGCTGCCTCTGTGTGTGTGCAGGAGCAGAGTGATGGGGACAGGCAAAGAGAGGTGAAGACAGATGTCAGAAAGGAGAAATACGTTGTCTTGTTACCACATACAGGAGGAGCCACAAACTTGTGTACACGTTTAAAGAAAGAAAGAATTGGTTTTAAAGTTGTAAGACTCAAGTCACACTTGACTTTTATAATTTCGAGAAATAGAAGCTACAGTATGTAAGATAGCAAACATTACTGGGATATATGGAGCATTGCAATTTTAATACCCCTTTCTTAAAATGTGTGTACATTTTCAGGTACCCTCTGTGTGCAGTCAAGGAAGGTTTGTTGGTGTCTGGAAGGGACGTCTCAGTCAGTGAAGGACAGTGCTGGAATTACAAGGTTTTCCTGGATCAATGTGTCAAAACTGGTAGACCTTTACATTTGCCTTCTAAAAATGTGACTACCTGACTGTGGGCTCCACGTCAGAGTCTCAGCATAGATTTAACTTGTAAGTTATAAGTCTCAGCATAGATTTAACTTGGATGTGCTAAGACCTACCACTCTGTTACAGGAAGAAAAGTTTCTAGTTTCTGGATGAACTGCTGTGGTCTGATCAAGATGGTGAAGTGAAGCTCACATTTAACTAGCTGTTGTTCTCATAAAAGGCATTCCTTTTTTTTTGAGACAAAGTCTCACTCTGTCACCATTGGTGAGTGCTATGGTGTCACAGCTCCTACCATCCTCTAACTCCTGGGCTCAAGTGATCCTCCTGCCTTAGCCTCCTGACTAGCTGGGACTACCATGATACACAGCTAATTTTTCTATTTTTTTGTAGAGACAAGATTTTGCTCTTGCTCAGGCTGGTCTTGAACTCCTGGGCTCAAGCGATCCTCTTGCCTCAGCTTCCCAAAGGACTGGGATACAGTCGTGAGCCAACTTGTTTAGCTAAAAGGCATTCTTTGTGGGTAGATAACCCATATTCAATTTCCAGTTCTCCTCCTGGAACAAGTATGGGCCCTGGCTCAGTGCAGGCTGGTGTGCTAGGAGCTGGGGTAGGTTTGGAAATGTTAGGCTGGCCCAGGATACTAGTCTCAGAGTCCAGGGAGGGCTGGGCTGGCACAGGAAGGCTGAAGACGTGTCCATAGTCTGCGTCGCTCTGGTGCTTCTCCCTGCCCCCACCCACACTCCCTAGGGGCCAGACGGCATGTCAGATGCTGCCCCACTAAGAGCTATGACTGTGTCACAGATCTGCCCTACAAGACTTTCTCACCTCTGGCAGCATCACCTGAATGATCTAAATCTTAAACTTGATGTAATGGAATCAGCATTTTTGACAAGCAGACTTTTGGAGCATACATTGGAAGACATGTGTTGGGATCTGAGGGGCTGAAAAGTCAGGCCCATGTTCCCCCACACAGTCCACTCCTGTCTGCACTGTTCCAATGCCCGCAGTTGCTTCTCCTGCACTGAGTGAAACCACCATTATTAATTGTACCATCATTAGGTGTATTTTCTAATTCTTGTTATTGTTAGTGCTTGAAAGGACCTTACGTTTGATCTTCTGACCCGGCAGAGTAGTCCGGGAGACTGTCCTGCTTTGACGTGAGTCTGGATGGAGGGAAACAGGAGAAGAATGAATGACAGGGACCAGAAAAGAAAGGAGAGAAAAGAGAAAAACTTCACGACTGAGCAGCCGCAGCCTCTCCTGGCCGGGAAGAAGGGACGCCTGCAATGCCACTCCCTTCCCGCTGTGTCCCTGAGCCCCAGCATCAGCC